AAATCCTGGCCAGGACGCGTCCTGGGAAAATGGCGCGTATGGTCACCCTACATTAACTGCAGCGTTATGCTGAGCTGATAATAGAGTCCATGTTGAATGAGTTTGCCCTACCGGCACACATGCCCTCCTCTCTGCGTCTCAGATCTTTACACGAAACAGACATAATGTTCCTGACCACCCCCTTACACACACACACACACACACACACACACACACTCAAACATCTCCCCATCAAAGCAGCAGAGAAAAGTGTGTAGGATGAACAAAGTCAGACACACTGTAAGCACACATGCTCTTCTCTTTACTCCCCAGTGACACATACAGTGAGTAGGGCAGCCCTTTGGCCCATCAGCACCCCGTGAAGTGCTGTGAACGTGTGTGTGTGTGTGTGTGTGTGAATGTTAGAAAATATTTAGTTTGGATCTCTGCCACAAAAGTCTCACAAAAAGCTTCCAGAAATCTTCACACCTCCACCTGCGACATGGAGTCAGAGTGTGCCCGTGTTGCAATGTGCACATGCAAAATTTTTATTTTTTATTAATTTTTTATTTAGTCATTTATTAGACGCTTTTATCCAAAGCGACTTACAAATGAGGACAACAGAAGCAATCAATTGTAGTATTAAAACAACTGAAAACAAATCCAAAACTAAAAGCTAAAACTTTATAAATACTACCTATACACATTTAAAAAATAAAGAGATTAAATAAAAATGACAAATGCATACAACAAAATTTCGAAACTTAACATTGAAATGAAAAACACAAAATAAAACTAAAAACAATTCAAAATATTAAAGAACAAAAGGTATGAGTATAATAATGATTCTAACGAAACACCAAAAAACAACTACATATGTGTATGTACAACCACACACACACACACACAAATATATACATACACATTTATAAATTCAATATATATATTATTTCATTTTCATTTAGTTTGTTGAAGTATTAAAATAACTCAAATTAAATAAAACTAAACACTTAATAAAATACCTATACAGACATAATAAATTCAGACATAACTAAAATTAAAATAAATAACAAATACAAATAATACAAATCAAATGACAGTAGTTTATCAGTAATCCTAAAAAATAACACTGCTAAACACACATGCTAAAAAACAACAACTTACTGACACATAGTAAGAAATGGTTATAACAACTGAAACAGAAGCGAAACAAGTAATAGGAATTGAAAGAGGAGAAATAAAAAAGCAATACTTATACTTTGCCGGTGTCCCTGCCCGGTGGGAGTCGCACGGTAGAGTCGATGGTCTTTACACTAAATTTTTTTTTAAAGAATATTATTTAAACTTTTACTCAACTTTTATGAATTGAAATAGCTAATAAACTGACTGGTTCAAGGGTTCAACTTGAAATCAACTACTATACTATCAAACCATTTCAGAACGTTTCTGTAACGAAACAGTAACGAAGCCTCCATCACGTGTTGGTTCGATCAGCTCCGAAACGCTATTCGAAGCAAAGGATTCATAAACGTTTCGAAGATTCGTGAAGAGTTGTTTCGAACGGATCCGGATTAAAAAAAAAAAGGCCCCAAAGCGATTCGTACGATCAGTTGCTTTTGAGTTATGAATCGGTTCCTTAAAAACGAGTCGATTCTCTAAAATAAACACGCTTGTGAACATTGGGCTCAGCGTTGTTAAACACGCGAAAAAGAGTGCATTGTCTTTGTTGTGTGGTGTTATCAAAACGCGGTCACATTGTTTTACCAGGGTTCACCACTGTATGACATGAATTGTACGCGGGAATCAGTCTTTTAAATGTCAACGGTTATTTTGATGGCTGGTCTTTCTGAAGACGGTGCTTTTTGGAGCTGTAAATTAAGTTTTTTTTTTTTTTTTATGTCAGAACATGAAAAGAATCCGGTAAATGAACTTTTATAAGATGATATTTCGGTTCTGTTTACAAACTATATGTTTTTGTCATTCGATAACCTGCGATCCCGATTGATCGAATCCTGCAGCAATTTTGTTTTTGCTGCACTTCACTAGCAATATTTGTTAATTGATTTAAAAAAATACATTTACCATTTAAATTGAATGATTTTGTGATGTGAATAGCCAGTCAGTAGTGATATATCGGTAACTATCCTTATTGAACTATAAAAGAACCGGCTAATAGTCTCTTGAAGCGGACTTTTTTGGCCGCGTTTCTGTCCACGCTGGTCGCCTTGTATTTTATATTGTTTTAGCCCGCGAGGACAGTACAGTCGACAAAGATGTATTATTTCGGGGTACACGCTCTCTTTATTTATTAACATTCAGTACAGTTTAATATGTAATGTCTTTTGTTATAACGCTGAAGATTCATCAGCGCAGCAGCCACGGTTGCCAACTCTCGCGAGACAAATAAGCAACCGCTGCTTCAAAAACAAGCCCAAAACAAGCCCAATATTTTTTTTGATGATTTATTATCATCAATATTATTTATTATCAATTATTTATTACCAATAAATGAACCTGCAACATATTAAACTGAAACCACTCTTTTATCTGAAAAGCAAAAACAGATATTGAATAGCCAGTCAGTAGTGATATATCGGTAACTATCCTTATTGAACTATAAAAGAACCGGCTAATAGTCTCTTGAAGCGGACTTTTTTGGCCGCGTTTCTGTCCACGCTGGTCGCCTTGTATTTTATATTGTTTTAGCCCGCGAGGACAGTACAGTCGACAAAGATGTATTATCTCGGGGTACACGCTCTCTTTATTCATTAACATTCAGTACAGTTTAATATGTAATGTCTTTTGTTATAACGCTGAAGATTCATCAGCAGCAGCCACGGTTGCCAACTCTCGCGAGACAAATAAGCAACCGCTGCTTCAAAAACAAGCCCAAAACAAGCCCAATATTTTTTTTGATGATTTATTATCATCAATATTATTTATTATCAATTATTTATTAGCAATAAATGAACCTGCAACATATTAAACTGAAACCACTATTTTATCTGAAAAGCAAAACCAGATATGTTATTTTACAAAAATCAGCAAACTGCAACAAAGTGAGAACAAAAAGCTAATCTCCAATCACCAGTGAGCAGAATAGGATTGGAGAGATGGAAAAGGAGAAAAACACAAGAGCTTCAAAGGGGAACTGTAACATAGCCACATATTTATAGCCTACTAAAATATAGGCTATGCGAACCAAATGTATAGGCTATATAGTTTTAGTATTAGTAAAGGACTACTTGTTTTTATTACAGCCCATGACAATTAATACATTACAAAAACATTGTAAAAATTAGGCTAAAAGAAAGTCATCCCACTCCTCTACGTCTACTTCTGTCGTCGCTTGGATTACAGCGTCACGCGCCTTCTTTTTGAACGGGATTTTCTCCAATGAGGCAAATTAAGCACATTTGGCAAATTAAGCTGCAGCATTTATATTATTGCACTGGTTGGCTATTAACTGTGAGCAGACAGTGTCAACCAATGCATTGGAGAATACGGCGAACATAAATAAAGAAACGAAGTTGCTTGTCAGATTTCCCTAACAAGCAACCATATTTTTTTTAAATAAGCCCAAAAAACCGCGACCCGGGATTTTTTCACGCAACTTTACAAAAAAAGAAGCCCAAAGTCGCGTATAATACGCGGACTTGGCAACTATGGCAGCAGCTAGAACACGTCCCCTGAAGTCCTCCGCATCTTTCGCGCTTCTCTCTGCAGCTCATTGATTGGTTACTGCGTCTCTCGCCCCGCCTTCTCGCGTTCTCCTCCCCTCTTCTCCTCTCACTCCAACCTGCCTGATTTTCACAGCTCAGCATTCTCCTTACATGTAGCTAGTGTAGGGGTGGGATGGGTTTCAGAGTGTGCCGTGAAAAAAAATCCCTCCTCACCCAATTGGAAATGGGAGTAGTTTTTATTGAGCCGTGATTGAACCAATGACAGCTCAGTGCCGGGAAATACAGCAGTGAAACACAAGGGGCTGTGGTGCTGAGCAACGATTGCAGGGTGTGAGACTAGAAATGTGTGTGTGTGTGTGTGTGCATGAGAGCATCTCTGCATCTGTCCCGATCCGAGCTATTGTGTGTGTGCATGTGTGTGTGAGCTTGGGGGTGCGTAGAGGAAGACATCCGGGGTGTGTGTGTGTGTGTTTGCACAGGTCTGATATTTCCAACACAGCCAGAAGAGGATAAACCAAAAGTCCTGATTATTGTCCCTTCTTCCCCCCCCCCAAAGCTTTCCAAGTGCCCTGCTCGCTCTGCGAAGTTTCTTTCTTCAACCCACCTCTGCATCACCACCCTCCTCTTGGTGCAGTACATCTCCAGTGAGGATACACACGGTACAGAGGTAAGTACAGTATCCCCCTTTTATGATAAAGCATGCCTTTTATACAATGCAGATTATCATTTTAATGCTTAGACAGGAGTCTAAATATAGTCTTTCAGTCATTATAATAAAAAATCAGGGAGAGGCGGCGTATGGCAGAGAGGAGAGAGAGGAAGACCTTTGTCAGCCAGTGGAACTTTCTCAGCGTAGCGTCCTAGTGCTGCAGTATCACATTACATAATAGTGGCCGATGTGCGTAGAATAGAACTTGAGAGTCTCATAATTTGTACACACAATATGCATCTCTTGATAACTCAGAGATGCGGTCTGACACGTCACTGCTGGCTTTGTAGATTGAGTGTGCATGATCATAAAACACAACTGCAGCTGTTTGTGCACTTTTTAATGTTGTTATGCCAAGTTTTTTTGAATGGTTTATGTGCATTGAAACACTACAGCGTTCTCTAGAATTGTTTGAGTTGTTAGTATAAGCTGTTTTGCAGACTATTTAGGGTTGGCGTCCAGCGGAGAGCTCGTTACTGGCCGTGCGGCTGCTGATCCTGCCATCTTTTTGCTGAGCAAGCTGTTCCGCTGACAACAGGCGCAGATTTACTTGTCCTGTCTGCTGGCGAAGGATGTTATAAACCTGATTACCTTGATGTTTAGGGGAAGTGAACTGCACCGTCTTGTTTTTCTCATTTAACATTTTATTATGCATGTGAAACGAACTGCGCTGAGGTCAGTTGCAAAAGTCGAGCGTTGTGTGTTGTGTTCATTGCTGATCCTGCCATCTTTTTGCTGAGCAAGCTGTTCCGCTGACAACAGGCGCAGATTTACTTGTCCTGTCTGCTGGCGAAGGATGTTATAAACCTGATTACCTTGATGTTTAGGGGAAGTGAACTGCACCGTCTTGTTTTTCTCATTTAACATTTTATTATGCATGTGAAACGAACTGCGCTGAGGTCAGTTGCAAAAGTCGAGCGTTGTGTGTTGTGTTCATTCTTGTGTGTACCTGCACTTCTCAAAGACATCCCAGCAGGGCCGATAACAGGAAAAGGCAATTTAAGAGGTAATCTCATTGATTGCAGTGGCGACCAGTTGAATAGCGCTGGAGAAAGACAAATGCAGACAGATAGATGACTGGGAGGTGCCCTGGGCCTCAACGCTTCGGCTAAGTGCTTCGGGTCAGTCCTTGAGAGCGCCACATAACAACGGCACTCGTTTAGATTCAGAGTAGACCTCGCTCTACTCAAAGCAGAGGTGAGACAGAGGAGGCATCGCCGCATTGGACACATTCACACACTCACTCACACACACACACACACACACACACACGTGTGAGGGTTATGTGTGGAGGCTGTTCAGTGGAGTGAAACCGTTTCCCCTTCCTGTAATAAATCATGCTCCCTTGCTGCTGTATAGGGGCCGGTAATGTTTGAAGAAGAACATTGTCCCTTTTTTTGTTTTACAGTAATGGATAGGACTTGGGTAATAATGACGCAGTATCAGGACTCATAACTCAACAGGACTCCTAATGCACCGTTATTATAAAGAACATCTCGCTCGTCATGAGCTTGGGGACGTTGCTTTTGGTTTATGCTCTAGTATTTACTGATTTTTCTTATTTGGAGTATCAGTGACATACCCGAACCTCTTATTTTTCTATCTATATCTCTCGCTCTCTACAGTGCCGTACATTTTTAAAAGTGGATATCTGCTTGATGGTTCATGAAATTGAATGGTCTTTGCCTGCTGTAATCGTGTCTTGCTGAAATTGGGATGCGTTCACATAAAGCGTAAGGGTCTCCCTGTGGTTCTTCTAATCAGCATGGTTGAAATGAACGTCGGCACGCTTTAAATGTGTTCTTTTCTTTCTTAATAAGCTGATATCATTACTTTCATAAAAGCCACAACAGGATAGCATTATTGCAGCAGGGTCAGCAGGTTGCATAGTCAAGATATAAACAGTACAGTTAGGTATATGTGTTGTAACCATACACTTCTGAGAATGAATAAACATAGTGACAGGCTGATATATTGAGTGTCAGATGATTTATTTGAGATTATGGGCATCGCCTGTTGTGGTTTCCCCTTGTGTTAGTTTCAAAATAGAAAAATAGCATCCTCAAACAATGAATAATTAACTTTTTTGGTGGTTTTTGTTTTGTGCATTTTGAGTAAATATTGTGTAAAATGAGTGATAATCATTATCTTTGTTGTATTTAATTTAATTTGATTATTTTTATTTTCCATTGCCCATCCTAGAGTAAGTGTTTATTTTATTTTATTTTATTCCCACCCTGTTCTCTAGATATTGAGACCAGCCTTTAAAATTGGTGAAACACTACATACAATCAAAATGGCCATGTAATACGTTTGCCATAAGGCAGTGATTATCAGACTGTACATTTGCCAGGTTCAATATTAATGAAACAATTGATCTGTCATCAGTGATGCTGCACTGAAGGAACCGTAAGCAAACTGTCTAAATTGGTCATATTTGACCAAGCTTTAAAAGCCTTTCTAAACACGTTTTCTTTTCACTTCCAGTTTTCATACATCTGCATTTCAAACTGCGTAGTAAAGGTGTGGTAGTATCATGTTCTCTCTCTCTTTTTACCTATCCATCCGTACCTTCTCTTTTTTGCACCGACACAGCTTTGATTTAACAGCATCTTCGCTGTCACAATCAATCACTCCTCATGTAATGGCTTCGTAAAATCTGAGTGCTTAATGTGGGCAATGCAGAAATACAATTCAAGAGCTCAGTCACGCCAGCTGTTTTGGCCACTACATATGTTCATTCACAATAACAAGAGGGAAGCTCTGCGGTTTGGGTTTGTTTGATATACTAATGGATGTGATTGTCACTGTAGTGTTTAGTGAAAGCCTGAATACAGCCAGCAAATTAGTGGTGGGGATTTGATTCATTCCAGTGAGTCGACTCTTTTGAGATTCATTCAGGGACACTTTCTGTCTATTATGAATCATTGAATCATTTGCTTAAAAATTCATTCTAAAACACAGAATCATTCCATCATGACCGAAATCATGACCGAAACAAGTTGTATTGTCCTTTTTAAAAATGTACGTTACAGATTTACTAAGAGACTCTAGAAGTGTTTTAGCAATGTTATATACTAATGGATGTGATTGTCACTGCAGTGTTTAGTGAAAGCCTGAATACAGCCAGCAAATTAGTGGTGGGGATTTGATTCATTCAAGTGAGTCGACTCTTTTGAGATTCATTCAGGGACACTTTCTGTCTATTATGAATCATTGAATCATTTGCTTAAAAATTCATTCTAAAACACAGAATCATTCCATCATGACCGAAATCATGACCGAAACAAGTTGTATTGTCCTTTTTAAAAATGTACGTTACAGATTTACTAAGAGACTCTAGAAGTGTTTTAGCAATGTTAAGCATTTTTTAAGCATGTACTTCAATAATAATTTTCACACATTTAAAAATTGGGATAATGCATGAAATATAGGGATAATGTCACTGCATGAAAGTGAACAACAGTGATTCATTCACAAGATTCACTGATTTCGTGTGTGAACTCCACACACGAAAGGTCGCATTTAAGCAGCGATCTCCCCCTGTCCATCAGATTACTCAGAACTGATGATAGAGCAGCAACCGAGTTTGACGTGTTCGTGACAGCTCTCTAAAACATAATATTTAGTAAGGACAGCCAAGGTGCTGGGCTGGTAGATTCAGTGCCCTCAGGCTGCGAGATGTTACAGCATGCTGACTAAATCAGATGAGGAAGGTGTGTGTGTGGGAGTGTTAGAGAACAAGAAAGCAATTTACAGTTCTATGATATTGACCCTTTGCTAAGCTCCGCCCCCTTTGGTTACCATTGCTCGCACAGATAAGCGTTATGGAACTGGAATGAACTGTGAACAGTGTGATTTTCAGTAAAATGTGTACAAAAAGTGGTAAAAATCGAATAGATATTATTTCTACATGGTCTGTGAAGTGAGAACATTTGTCTTGACAGAAATTGTTAAATTACACAGTAAAATAGACTGAATCAGATTGGAAAAGAGAAAGGCCTCATTTGAAAGTGTTTATAACTGATAACATAGTGTATGTAAAAATGAACTTTTATAAAAATAAACAATAAAATGTACATTTTAAAAATGTAAAAATACACAACCTTTTACCGTTTTCTTTGGTGATTTCTTTCAATGCAATTTAAAGCTATTTAAACACACAGAACTTGTGCTGACTTTCATTGGAAAAGAGTACAATTTTGTTGGATAACCTGGTGGACGACAGGATTGGTCAGTTACCTTTTAAAGGCGGGACTTAGTGAAGAATCTGTAAGATAGCTCTGTTTTGGCTAAAAGTTGTCTCTTCTTAATGATATCATTGCAGGTTTGTCAGTCAAACCAATGGATAGGCATTGACCTTTCTGCGTTTGTGGTTTTTGTAGTCAAAAGTAAAATCTATTATGATGGAAATAACTCTAGGCACTGGTGGCATTGGCTTTATGATAATTTGGGAATACTGTCTTTTGTGTGTTCGTGCATGAGGCAAATTATGAATGCATTCTTATAAAACTTCACATATTGTATTTGCAATAACATAATCTTGCAGCAATAACCTGTCAGGTGAAGCAGCGGTGCTGTAAAACGAGGCGTGAATGCTAACAAATGGCTGGGTGGATGACTGTGGGCCACAGCGCCTCAGGCTAACACATGCAGACTGCTGCACGGCGCACAGCTACTGGTGCAGTGTGAGACACACACACACACACACACACACACACACACGAGTATTGCTCAGAAAGCTCTTCTACACTCCACTGCCAATTCTGACAAAGACAAACGGAGTTGAAGTGTATACTGCTGAATTACACAGTTTGTGTGTGCGTTTATCCCTTACAAACAAGCACTGTAGCTGTACTGTGGTACAGTGATGGTATCAGAGAGTAATACCATGGTACTTTGATATAACCTACCTTAACTTACTGATTGCCATATTATGCATGTCAGAAGACTGATGT